CGGGGATTGAATGACAGTTTTTCAAGTTGAAGGTTTATTTGTATATATTTTTGCAAGTTGGAGGTTTTTTAGGGGTTTTACCCTAAAAAATAATATCAAATCATAACACTAAACAAAATCATCACCAATATATATATATATATATATATATATATATATTAATGTTTTATATAATTTCTAATAAAAATATTTTAGTTTTTTTGTCAAAACGCCGGAAAACCTACCAAAACGCCAGTTGAAAGCTACGATTAATAAAAATATTTTAGTTTTTTTGTCAAAACGCCGGAAACCCTACCAAAACGCAAGTTGAAAGCTACGATTAGAAAACACAAGTTTGGTTACGGTTGCGGTTCAACCAGTCAATGTTTCAATCGTCTGTAACCGCCGGAAATCGCAACCGCTCCGTTTGCGGGTGACGGCGGGGCAACCAGTCGGCCCCTATAAGTAAGTCTGTATTCCAAGTGATCATCTACATTAGCTAGGAGCAACGTAACGCTAGCATATTCCGACAACAATTGACGACAATGAATATGATGGAGCAACCGAATCATAGACTCGTGGATTAGTTTTATATTACTGCTGCTGCTACGGTCAAATAATTATTCCATTGTAAGATAAATGGGTATTGGGCCGTATACATGGGCTTTACAAAAGGCCCAATAACTGAAATGCCCTCGATTCTGTCGCCGTCGCTGTCGGAATCCAGAACCCACCTACAGTGTCAGTGAGAGTTGGCCCCCCGAATCCGACCTCGGCGATTATTCTGCCAGGTTCGATTTCCAATTATGTTCTTTTTCTCCTTAGATTTGTTCCATGTTCTTCGGATTTCATGTATTTGATCATTTTCTTTGCTTAAATCTTCCAAATTATGTCTTTATTGATGAATCTAAAGTTCTAGGTTTAGTTCGGAGAATCTGTACCTGTCTCTTTTTCCCTATTTCGGTCGGCCGTGATGAACATTTTGTGGATTTCTGGTTTTTAATTGCTGAAAATCTCGATTTTGGCTTGCTTGGGCTCGTGATTTAGATTCTTTGCACTGTGCTCGTCTGCATCAGTTGTCGTTGCTTATGCGTTTGGATACGATGTGTATTCTTCGGTTTCAGTTGGACTTTGGGCATGCTCATCTCCATCTTTGCGCCTGAATCTTCTGTGTTGGTTCTTCTGCGGAATATTCGAGCTTTCTCTTGAACTTTATTTCCATACTTGTAGCCGTTTTGAAATTCCGGAAGATGATTTATTTACTTCGGAGAACAAAATGGCTTGCGTTGGCAAAGATTCCGGCATATACACTAACGCAGTTTACTTCTGTATCGAGTTTGGAACGGCTGAGATTTTTGTCTACTCTGATTTCAACTCAGGACAACAGCCGAGAATCTTCGTCTAGCATATCTAGTTTGACTGGTAGTGCTCTTGAGTCTGATGTTGAGCGTTTGCAATCGTCAAACAAGCCAAATTTGGTCTTGAAATTCTTCAAAGATAATGGTTTCTCGGAATCTCAGATAAAGTCCATTGTTTCTCGATGGCCACGTATCCTTGTCTCAGATCCTGAGAAAAGCCTGAAGCCAAAAATGGACTTTCTCATTTCGAAGGGGATATCGAAACCTGAATTTCTGAGAATAGTCTCAGAGGATCCAAGGGCACTGACCCGCAGTGTGGAAAAACTCATGATACCTCTATTTGATTTTCTGAAGGATGTGACCGGTAGCGAGGAGAATGCAGCTCGAGCTGTCAGAAACTACCCGTATGTGTTCCGCTCCTGCGTCGGAAAGTCTCTCAAACTGAATACGATGAAGCTGCAAAGTGCTGGGGTTCCCAAAGACAGGATTGGTAGGTTGATGATCCATCGACTTAAATCATTTGCACCACAACCATCAAGGTTTGAGGAAGCCTTAACCATGGTCAAAGAAATGGGTTTTGACCCAGCTGATTCCACATTTGGTACCGCAGTTGGAGCGATTGGATGGTGTAGTAAACTTGCTTGGGAAGGGAAAATGATTTTTTTCAGGAGCTATGGCTTGTCGGATTCAGAGATCTTTTTAGGGTTCAGGAAGCAACCAGCAATCATGATGTTCAAAGAGAAGAACATGAAAGCGAAAATGAACTTCTTCCTCAAGGGTATGCACTGGAGTCCAAACAAGGTGATAATGGCACCACAGATTTTGTTGTTGAGCCTAGAGAAGAGAATAATTCCCCGGCTCACGGTTCTTTATCTCTTGGAAAGCCAGGGAGAGGTGAAGGAAGGGGGAATCAGTTCGGTTATGTGGTTAATGCAGTTACTCGAAAAAACGTTTGTGGAGAAATTTGTTATCCGTTATAAAGATCGAATCCCTCAGGTCGTGGATGCGCACGAGGGCAAGTTGAAGATGGAAGATCTTCATATGCTAAATTCGAAGGCTGTGTTCAAGAGGAATGAGTTCTGGTCAGGTACTTAGATCTTCGGCATTACTGCATTTTCATTCAGAGCTCCATTCCAACTATAATGGCTGTCTTTCTTCAGACATGGATCATTAAAATGTATTGGTAACCTCTCTGTCTCAATCTTCATTCTCCATTTTCTTCTCCTTGCATCAAAGCATTCATAAAATTTCCCTTCTCCTTAGGGAGCCTTTCAAATTCATACAGAAAAAGATTGCTTTTGTTATTGAAATAAGCATTTTTATGAGTAGACAGACAAACAGTTTCAGGATTAGTATAGTTTATATTTTCTTATGTATTTGGTCCCTAGATTTTTTTTTTTTTTCCAGAAACGTCTTCAATTTGTTTACATCTCAGCAAGACAGAGTTTCAACATTATTTGCAAGAAGTTGCATAATATATTTAACAAATTTCATTTTTTCTAAATAAAAGTTTGACAATATAGTCACTAATTGTTTTTACCTTTTTAGGTGAAGGGTGAACAACTTACAGTTTTCTGTTAAAGTTTAAAAAGATATCAATTATCTCTATGATTCATAAGATATAATTTTTTATGATTAAGCAAGAAATGGTTATAAAATTTACATATTTTCCTATACATTAACATATAATATTTTGTAGATTTCAACACAACCTTCTCGAACCTTTTCAGCTTCCATATATAAAATTTATCCATAAATTTTAATGCAATATAATATTTTTTTTTTCAAATTACATTTTAATTTTTAAAAACAGAACGAGTCGTTTGTTTGGAGTTCAGTTCATTCGAATCATTTTCAAATGAGTTAGAAAAATACCGACTCGACTCGAATTGTTGTTTCACAAATTAAAAGAGTCGGTTTGCGAGACAAATAATATTTTTTTATTTAGATTATAACAAATATTAAATAAATGATATTTTATTATGAAATTCAAATATTAAAACATCAAACATCAATATATTATGCTGTCGCATTGTAAGTTTTCATGAATTTTCTATTTATCATTTAACGTTTGAATTTGAATTATTTCTTTTTTTGAAGATCGATGAATCAAATGATATTTTTGTTCCAATTTTTTTCCTTTTAACTCACAGTAGAAACAAAATTCGAATTTTATAAAATTATGATTTTATCGCCAGGATTTTTCATTAAAAACTCAATATTTCGTTACCAGTAGAAATAAAGTAAAAGATTCCGATTGACTATATTTATATGGTACTCTTTGCAAAATATATAAATAAAAAGTCCTCTTTTGCAAACTATATATATGAATATCAATATTATCCTTTTGTTTGTTTGCGGTAGTTATATTGTTTATTCGTGTGATCTTGATTGATTTTTGAAAGAAATTTAGTATTTTCATATACACCATGTTTTATTACATGATACCACTCACTATAATTTTTTGTTTCAATTCTAATAGATTGTTCCGATTTTCTTTATTTAATAATAGTGAAAATCCCAAAAAAATACATAAATTTTATGAAATACACCACAAAAATATATGATTTTTTTAATTTGACAGGTTAAACTATAAATTCATTAATGTTTTCCAAATCAGTTCATTAGTCCTAATGAAAGCTCCGCTTAAGTTATATCACGTGGAAATTTCGTTTTAACCACGTCGATGCCACGTCATTAAAGACAGACACGTCAGGTTATGAACCACATCATTCAGTTTTTGTATAACAAAATCGAAATCAAAACGATCTAATTTTAAACCGGATAAATTAAAAAAATAAACTGAAATGATAAAAATCTTTAAATCGGAAACAAAATTACTGTCGAGAGATTGGGGAAAAGGGCTCATTCTAGGGTTTATTCTTAAACCATCGACACATAAGTTTTCAAAATAACTTCTAGTTGGATAAATTAACAAAAGATTATCACCCTTTAAATCCCACTTGAGGAAACAACCATCTACACCAATCACCGGTCGATAAAATTGCTTCCACGAAATACGTAGAACTTCAAAACAGATATAAAATCTGTCGAAGGCTTCATCACCACGTCGATCTCCTGCCACTGTACCGATTTCTGTAAAGTGTTAGGATTCAATCTTCGAAACTCTGCTTCACAGTTCCAAAGCTTTGCAAACTGCGTTCTTTGATCCCCTATTATCATTTGCAATGCAATAGACGTGCTTTGAAACAGTTACCGTCAAATTAAACTTCTTTTTAACCTCATGTTGCATTTCCATCCACAAATCCCATCGTCCCACCCATGTGGAAGTTAATCAATATATCACTTCATTCAAAATGTAAATAAACATTTAGCTACGACGATATCTTATCCACCAACCACACAGAAACACGAGTAGATAAACCACAATCTGAAATGACAAACACATATTATCTGTTACACATCATTTGGCAGAGAATCGACAATGAAGCCTCGAAAATCCGATTAAATCTGCAAATCCCGAAATCAGTAAGAAAAAATAAACCCATGCTCTGAAATCCGTATGAAACACTCAAAATCACGAAATTCCAATATAAACCACTAGCAAACGGGAATATTACAAAAATACCTTTAAATGTCGATTTCACTTACATGACATACCCTTAAAAAAAACTGAAAAAGAATGAAAAGACATCGTTACCCCTTTTAAAAAATACACGTGTCAACATCTGAAGGAGAAAGACCAAAAGTTGGGAAGTTACTAAATTAAAAAAATTTGAAAAACCAAACAGTTTTTTTGCCCCTTTTCGACAGACACTTTCATTTCTTCATAGTGTCGTTTCTTCTTCATTTTCTCTTCACTCTGTGATTTTTCTGTGCGATCTTTCTATGCGAGTTCGTGTTTGCAAGTAAATTTGCACGAAGAATGGCTTCGTCTTCATCATCTTCGGCCCTCTCTTCGGACCCTACTTGCGAAGACCTCCAGGTATGGTTTTTGAACTCCACAAAAATCAAATTTTTTAGGGTTTCGGGTACACATTGAGATTCGGTTTTAGATTTTCTATTAAGTTTTCGTTAAGAATAGGGTTTAAAATAAAAATTTGAAAAACTATGGTTTGAATGAAAAATTATCACCGAAATATCGAAATAGGGTTTTCGGATTGGGTGAGAAACAATGTTTTGTGAAAAAGACGGATAGAAATCGAGTCACGATGATATTATCGACAGTCGGATGCACTAAAACATAGATTAATGGTCATGCTAGATATTAGTTAAACTGAGCGCACCCATCAAACAAGTCAAACTATTCGAGTCTAAAAAATGTTCAAACTCGTCAAACAAGTCGGAGTTTGACGAGTTTGACG